CGTTCCCCCTTGTCCGGGTGCGGGGCACCACTGGGAAAAGTCTGGCCCCGTCCTCCTGACAGTCGTTATGGAATATGCCATATTGTAAAGAAACGCTGCTTTTGTCTGGAAAAAAATGTTCTGAAGCCTCAAGATGACCTGCAGGAATAATTGCTAAATGAGTGGTGATTAGTGGAATTACTGAAGGGACAGGCATGCTGTGGCAAGAGTAACTGCGACCGCAGTGCTGCTTTGCACAGTCCTGAGGAAAGAGCTGAAGGTGAAGCACGGAAGAGATCTGAAGGGGTCATCAAAAGCTTTCTGTAGGCAGAGGGGTCTGTCCTTTGGGAAAGAGCATGAAACAATTTGAGTTCTGGAGGTTGGAGTTAGCAAAGACCCCTCGGTGAGGCAGTGGGAGTACCTGGGTGTTAGGGAGGACTGGTCAGGCCGTCCCCTCCGAGGTGCCCCCTCCTCGATGCCAGGGAGAGCTCTCCGTGTCCTCCTGACTGCGGGATCAAACCAGACGCGTGTGGTCAGGTCGGAGCCACGGGTTTATTGACCTGCTGCACTGTGGAGCTCAGGTGCAGGGCTGCTGGACAGGTACCCTGGTCCCAGCAAGCAGAACTTGGCTGTTTTTTCTTCCCAAATAAACAGCCTGCACCGGTTTTGTCCTTTCCCCTTCTGACCCCAGTCTTGATGATTGTTTATGCCCTGGTTTGGTAATTCAGGTTGTGGTCAGTGGCGCTGGTAAGCCAGCGTCTCTCCCTTTCACATCTTTTGCTGTCCCTCACGCAGGGGAGTTCCATACACTCCCCTTTCTCATCTGTAATGTCCCATAACTTCTGCCATCACTGTCCTACGAGTTCAGCCCCAGGTTGGTGTCAGCCAGGCGCTGCAAGCAGCCTTTGTGGTTACCCTGTTGTTTCAACCTCGTGCCACGCGTACCTCAGTGCGGGCAGAAGCGTGGAAGTTGTCAGTGCTGTGCAAGGTTTGGTTTAACTGTTTAAAAGCCTGTGCACGTTGGGGTGGGTTTGTTCCCTCGAGGTAGGTGTATCTGTGCCAGAAGGCACAGCTTAGCAGAACATACAGTGCTTTCCTTCTGTGGCCTTTTCCCCTTACAGGTTGTGAATCCACACTTGCTGAAAGATCTCACAGAGAGGGGCCTGTGGAACGAGGAGATGAAAAACCAAATCATTGCGCACAACGGCTCTATCCAGGTGTGTGTGAGCAGCCGGGGAGCGCGGCGCAGGGATTCCTCCTAGGCTGGGTGATGGGGCAGCTGCTTTGCCGTGCAGTGCTTTCGAGGTCTGCTGTGTAGGAGCGACTCGGCCAGCCCGGGGAGGAGAAGCTGTCGTGTGTCGCAGTTCCGTTGGAAATAGGAGGACATGTGTCTGATCTCAGTGGTAATTTGTCCCTGCTGGAGCCTGCCCGTGTCAGAGAAGCCCAATGGAAATGTGCTCCTGATTATTGCTAGAACAAACACCGAGTCACGCTGCGCTGCTTTATGCAGATTCTGCAAATGTCTGGGTTCTCATTACCATAAAGATTGTGAAGGGCTAATTTCGTAGCAGGGAGCAGGCTGGAGGCAGGAGCAGAGTATGTGACGTCCCGATCCATGTAGAAGAGTCTGTGTGGGATGGATCACCCGTGCTGCGGAGCTCGAAATGCTGCTGTGACTGTTGTGCGTGGAGTCACGCACGTGAACAAAGTGCATCCCACTTGTCATGAGCTTTGGGGCGGCTGCTAGCTGCTGGACTGCTTTTTGTAAGACCTCCCAGCTATTTAGGACTTTTTGCAAACAGCTTTTTCTCTAAAATTCCCCAGAATAAGCTGTCCTGTAAGGTTTCTTTATGCTTGGGTGCTTTCAGATACAGAATGCTTGGGTTCAGTGATAGAGTTCAGCTGCCAAGAGCCTGAGTTCTGGTCAGGATTTCTGAAGTCTCAGGAACTGGTGAAGCATTTGCTTTTATAAATATGAACATTTGGGCAGTCACTGGTTACACTGCGTTGGAAAACTCTTCCTGTTCATTTTAGAACATCCCAGAGATTCCCGATGACTTGAAGCAACTCTACAAGACAGTGTGGGAGATCTCCCAGAAAACCATCCTGAAGATGGCAGCCGACAGAGGAGCTTTCATCGATCAGAGCCAGTCTCTCAACATCCACATCGCAGAACCCAACTACGGCAAACTCACCAGCATGCACTTCTACGGGTGGAAGCAGGTACCGGGCAGCGGCGGGCGGGGAGGCTTGCTCAGGACAGACAGCAAATGGGGGCTGAGAAGGTCTGCAACGAAAAGTCGGTCTCACTGGTTCTGAGAAGGGTCACCGGTCGTTTCCTTCCGAGAATCCAGTCCTGCTAGTGGAATATCTCTCTTGAGCAGTGAAGCCGTGGATGCTTGTAGCATCGCTCCCGTTAATCCTGACCGCTGGACGTCCCAGTGAGGCCGCTGCGGTGGTGTGGGCTAAGAGGGGGTTGGCCTCAGTGGTTCAGAGCGTGGCGGCGTTGCTGGCCTGGCCTGCAGCTGATTGCAGCTCTTAGGCTGGCGCTTTCGCTCTGCAGGGTCTGAAGACGGGCATGTACTACCTTAGGACAAAACCAGCTGCGAACCCCATCCAGTTCACCCTGAACAAAGAGAAACTCCGAGAGCGGGAGAAGGCCTCCAAGGAAGAGGAGGAGAAGGAGAGGAATAAAGCAGCCATGGTGTGCTCGCTGGAGAACCGGGATGAGTGTATGATGTGTGGCTCCTAACGGGGCCGCCCTGCAGCGCCAGCAAAGCCGTTCCACCTGGCTGGAGTCCTCGGATGGAAGCATCTAGTATAACTTCAGGATGTGGAGGCTTGCTGGACCCGTGGCAGGAGGGGTGATCACACTAGTGTCTTGTAGCTTCCCCATCCAGCTGGGGTTGGTGCACAGGTAGGGGTAGGGTGCGTGAGAAGTTTGTATATTGCTTTAGTAGCTGGGCTTCCTGAAAACTTCAGTGCTCTTGCGTGGTCTTACATAGAAACCTGTAGGCCGGCCTTCTGAACAGACAGGGAAAGTGCCAACGCCACTCACCTGGAGATCTGTCCAGGGGACTTCAGACAATTCTTTTCATTTACAAAAGAGGGAAGAAGCAGACCTGACCGATATTTTTCCCTCTGCTGTGATAAGACGGCGGGAGAACATCCCTAAGCTAGGTGTCTCACGCCTGCTGCGCTGTCTGGCATGGCAAAGGAGCAATTTCTGTTCAGCGTGGAAAGCTGGGGCGTGTGTGCTCGTCTGCCAGCAAGAACCCTCTCCCACCATGCAATCTCCTTGACCCCTCCTGTCCCCTTCCCAAAACGCTTTTTGAAGGAGCCTACTGGTGGTAGATGCGTTGCTACCTGGAGAGTCCATCTTCTCCATCCAGCCTGGCAGGGCGGAGCGTTGCTCTTGGTAAATGTTCCTTCTCAGTTCTGAGCAGGAAATGGCAGAACTGCTGCCGTGTATTTTATTCTGCGTTAAGAACCCGCTCTAATTTATCAGTCAGTTTGCTGGTAATGGGCTTCCGTGCTGTCCCTGGCCAGAAAGCCACCTGAAGTGCACACACCATCTTTTTTTTTTTTTTCAGGAGTTACATTTATCCACCCTAGCTAGTTATTTGATCTTTTAAAAATAATAAATTTTTACTTATCCACGTACTTAACTCCCCACTCTAATGCGATGGGTCTTCATCATCCAGTTCTTAAATATTTATTGAATTCATGTACCATACAACTAACCCTTTAATCCAGCCAGACTCAATAAAATGTGGAATGTCGAAGGAATGAGCAGTGGTACCTTGGGAACTATTTCTGATTAAAAGGGAATTGTAGCAGCTGGAGGCTGGGGCCTTGTTGGTGGCCTCTGGCCCTCCTGCACACAGCTCCTTCCAGAGAGCCGCCTGAAGGCTCTCGCGTGGAACGGGGCGTGTGAGCAGAGCCCTGGCTGTGCTGGCCAGCCGTGCTGAACTCGCTAGGCTCTCTGTTTCTGTGTGTCCTTTTGAAGATGTGGGATGAAGCTAAAGACAGAATCCCAGAATGTTCAGGGTTGGAAGGGACCTCTGTGGGTCATCTCGTCCAACCCCCCTGCCGAAGCAGGGTCTCCTACAGCAGGCTGCACAGGACCTTGTCCAGGCGGGGCTGGAATATCCCCAAGGCACTGGCAGTGACGCCTTGTGACAGAAGCCAGGAGCAGAAGAAACTGGGCAAGTGCTGGACTAAAAAATCAAGACGCCAGAATTCAAGCCTCGCCTCTAGCACAGTCGCAGCAAACCGAGCACACCTCCTCTGCATGGTACTGAAACACAGACCTGGTGTTACTTCATCCCCTTCCTCGTCTTGTTGGATGACAGGGTGACCATGAGCCAGCAGCGTGCCCTGGGTGCCAAGAAGGCCGATGGGATCCTGGGGTGCATGAGGAGGAGTGTGGGCAGCAGGGCGAGGGAGGTTCTCCTCCCCCTCTGCTCTGCCCTGGGGAGGCCCCATCTGCAGTG